ACTTCTTTTGAAGCTTTATTTACCTCAGCAGCCAAAATCTCTCTCTCTCTCTCTCTTTCTCTCTCTCTCCCATTTTAAAGAACTATTCTGGGAGAGAATACAATGCTTATTTCTCACTTCCTCTATCTGATTAGGACCCTGACGTATCTTTCCAGGTTGTCTGATTTTGCCCCACCATTTGTTCTATCTGTCCTACCTACAACTGAAGATTAATACAAATTTTGGTGATTGCCTCTGTCATCTGTACTATTGTTACTATATTCATTTATTTTTATGTAATTTTATTCTACTTCATGTCTACTTTTTAGTTTTATTAGTTATAGGTTCATGTGTTTTTATTGTAGTGTTTTCTGGCCTAAAGGCCATAATAAAGGTTTTGATTTGATTTGAATCTCTCTCTCTAATTGCTATTTTCTAAAACAAAATGTGCATCCCTCACAAACCACCTGGCAATCTGAGATGTTTCTAGTGTTTCCTATCAAAATGTATCATACAGCAATGATTTTTCTTTGTGAATTTGTTTGTAAAAAGAAAAAAAATGGAAGAAACAATAATAAAATATGGGAATTACATATTCATTTATTTTATTTTATTAATCAAATCTATAAACCGCCCATCTCATTGTATAAGTGACTCTAGGCGGCTCACAGATAGTTATCACTCTCCGCAATACATTTCATTTGAAGCAGATAAAATGGTGTAGTGGTTAAGGCATCAGGCTAGAAACCGGGAAATTGTGAGTTCTAATCCCGCCTAAGCCCAAAGCCAGCTGGGTGACCTTGGGCCAGTCACTTTCTCTCAGCCCTAGGAAGTAAGCAATGGCAAGCCACTTCTGAAAAACCTTGCCAAGAAAACCGCAGGGGCTTGTCTAGGCACTCTCCGAGAATTGGACACGATTGAACAGATTAAAAAAAAATTATCTGGAAAGACCTCTGTTTGAAAATCCAATCTCCTTTCCACCCATCCCTGACCTAAATTATTAAAATCATAAGAGGTATAAGCTTATGAATACAGGAATTAACCATTCTTTTCTGGGCTGAGGGACCTGCCACTTGAGTAGCTGGTAAGGCCAAGACAAAAACTAATTAAACAGCATTATGATGAGAACAACAACATACAGCTAATATGCTTAGTCTCCAATCATTTCTCCCAAGAGTCACATTAAAAATTACAATTTAGTGGCAACTTTGGGAGGTCTCCAGAGACTGCATTCCAGGTTTCCAGAGGCTACATAGGGTCTTAGGGCCTCAGGTTATACACCTGTGCTATAAAAGAAGTCCTCACAATTATAGGAGGTACTGTGGAAATATTGTAGTCTCAGGGTGCACAGCCACCAAATTGTATATTTTAATGTAACAAAAGAAAAAAAGTTACTAAATGCATTTTCTGTAGTCTGTATGAATTTAATTTCTCTCTCCAGGCTACTTGTCCATTCAAGTGCCATCCCAGAACACTTGTATCTTGTGTTGGATATTCGGGACAGGTTTGAGGTTCTGCTGGTACACTCCATATCCTGCTGCCCAACATTCCCCCAGCCTGAGGTGATGGAGCTGGCCTGGAACTTTAGTGGTTGTGAGCTAGTTCTGGGGATCTTCAATATACATGCTGTTACTGGGATGACTGGAGCTCTTCAGGACTTCATGGCTGCCATAACAACTTGTTCTATCTCAACCTGTTACTGCCCTACAAGTGCAGTAGATCACACTTTAAGTTTGTTTATTTTTCTACTTGGCAGGAGCATGGTGGTCTGAAAGTAGGAGTTCTGCATCCATTACCTTGTCATGATCAGACCACTTCCTGTTAAGATTTAGGCTTGCAGTGACTATTCTTCTCCACAGAAGTAAAGGATCAATTAAAATAGTCCATTAGCATGGATTCAGAAGGATTCTGGGGGATCTCCTTATAGTGTAGCTGGTGCTCCTCTTAAAGAATTAGCTTTTGCTCAGATTGCTCTTTAGCATCTTCTCCCACAGTGTGGAGCATGTTCAGCCTCTTAGCATACATCTTAAATGAAGGCAGTGAGCTTGTTGAAGACAACTAAAATCATGTCTTCAGGATTTATACAGACAGGCTAACTTTCTAAGGTCAGGCCTTCCAACCTTCCTAAACAAAGCTAAGATTCAAGATCTACTTCCTCCATTTAATTTACTTGGTGCTAAGAAACAAAGCAATTCTGTATGATGTGCATTTAGAATAATAATCTTACTAATAAAGCTGAATCTGCTGCACTTGATGCTCTGTTGGCTGCTGCTTCTGCTGCTCTAATGATATCAGTGATGTTCTCAAAACTGGTAGCAGCTCCCACAGCACAGGTCACTAGCTCATTATTGCTGGCATTCTTCTTGAGTCTGTGGGGAAAAAACCAACATATAATATAGCCATCAAGAAAATTAAAACACTTTGGCTGTTCTTTTGGTTTCATTAATCACTGTTGAGAATTGTACATAATGTGGGAAAGCAAGGAGGGAGGGAGGGAGGGAGGGAGGGTCAGTCGAACACTATGCTACTTTATTAAACACAGCATATTTTGTATGATAGGCTAATTTGAAATACTGTATTACCAGATAGAGATTATCTCCAACAAAAGTCTATATGGAATAAAAATCAGTTCGTTCAGAAGATAGATTTTAAAAATGGAAATGCTTATACCATCTTCCCTGATTATTTTTTGGAGGTGGTTGGGATAAACTAGGGAAGGGCATAGTCTAAACCAATGTTTCTTAAAGTGTGGTCCAAGGACCCCTGGGGATCCCCCAAAACTCTCTCATGGGTCCACAAAATCAAAATGATTTGCCAGACATTGAAAATATTTGCAAAAATTTAAAACAATGTCACTCTTCTCATTATTATTTTTAATTTGTTTAAAAATATAGGTTTTTGTCATGAAAAATATTTTATTTATGTCAATATCTAATGGGTTTAATATTGTTATTTTTACATAATTCAATAAATATTCTATGAATGTCAATTTTAATTTTTAATACAGTAAAGATTGATAAATATAAACCATACAAACAAAAGCTCTTTTGGGGTCCTCCATAATTTTTAAAAGTGGGAAGGGGTCCTGACAGCAAAAAGTTTAAGAAACACTGGTCTAAACAATTAAAATGCTTATACATCCCAAGGATTCCATCTAGAGAAAATTAGGCATATGCTTATCTGTGATGGAACGGACTTATGAAGGCCAGGCTCAGA